CGTATGATCAACTTCGTTATGGTGGAGCCGATTGTGGATAAACAGCAAACAACTGTTTTGTCGGCGGTTCAAAGAATGATGGTGCGCTTGCAGAGACATGGGTATCCGGTGTTGAGAATCCACTCAGATCGAGCGGGGGAGTTTGTCAATGCACGCTTCCGGTCCTTTTGTGAAACTCGTCTGATATACAGGACCACTGGTGATCCTGGAGTCCCGCAAACGAATGGGCGCGCTGAAGCATGTGTGGGTTTATTCAAACGTGGTGTGAGGTCGCTCTTAAAGGAGGCGCGACTCGGGCCGGCGTACTGGGCACTGGCTGCTCGCCATTGGTCAATGTTACGGTGGCAGAAAGCTGAAAGGGAGTTGGGTTTGAAACCGAAAGCATTGCTTCCCTTTGGTGCTCAGATTCAAGTCAAACGTCGTCCGTGGGAGTTGCTGGGTCCGGATGGAACAAAGAAAGGTCGGCAATGGGTCGATCGTACGCAGCCCGCGCTTCTTTTGGGTCCATGCGATGACCTACCTGGTGGTTATTGGGTGGAAGCTCAAGGGACTGCCAAAGATCCGGATGAACTGGTGTTGTTTCCCTGCACTACGATTTTTTCCAATATAAGGGAACCACCTGCATTGGAGCTGGAAGGGGTGGTAGAAGAACAGGAGCCTTCTCCTCCGGAGCATCGTCTCAAGGGGAAAACCCAGCGCTTCGGTTCGCTGATGAGGCAGGTCCTCCTTTACCTCCACCTCGCGATCCTCCGGCTCACCGTCGGTTAAAAGAAAAAAGCCCGGCCTCTTCACTGCGTGGTCATGTGGGCTCTTTGCGCTTGCTTCGCAAGCGGGGGGAGAGTCCGCCCTTAGAAATTTTCGAGGATGACATGCAGGGTTTGGGGGAGCTGGAAGAAAATGCAGATGTTGAGGACAATGTTCCTGGTGATGAGTATTGGCCGACATGCTGTTCTCCTCATGAAAATGCTTATTTGGTCTGCAAAAGTGAGACTGCCGAGGATGGAACACAGTTGGAAAAAGAAGAACAAAAAGCCAAGTCAATGTATGAAAGGTCTATGTATGATTACGTGGACTGTGAGGAGCTTTTGGAAGGGATTGTATACCCAAAGAGGGTGAATCGGAGAGGTGGTATCAACAATTGGTGCACAAGTACGCGAGCTCTGGTGTTGGGCCACTATACTCATGGCGGAGTGTGTGGTATTACAAAGGAGACCCATCGAAGGCCATGGCTATGTCGTTATTTGACATCATTTGTGAAGCACCACAATCCTGAAGCCAAATTTTCTGCTCTTCAGATCTCGTGCAATGCTCCGGTATCATTGCATAGGGATAGTCACAATGAAAAGCATTGCTGCAATTATGTGTGTGGCTTTGGTGACTATAAAGAGGGTCAGCTGTGGGTTGAGGATGAAAAGGTTTTGGAGGAAGGAGCTGAAGTGGTGGAGCAATCCTATGGGAAGAAAGTCTTACCTGGAAAATTGGTGGATATCCACTGGAACTTCATGTCGTTCTTTCCGAGAAAACTGCATGGTCCTATGCCTTGGAAAGGGAACAGAGTATCCTTGACAGGGTACACACCTGTTTTTATGGAGCGATTGAGCTACAAGGATAGGTGCTATCTACTCCAATGCAAGTTTCCTCTTCCGGAACCACAAGCTGAAGAAGGTGAAAAAAGGAAATGGTTAAAAATGACGCTGAGAGAAACCTCGCTGGACGACCTTGCAGAGGAAGTCGACTACGCTGTGTTTGAAGCGCATCAATGGGCTCTAGAGGAGCATTTGAGTATTCGACGCCTAATTGCTGAACAGGAATGTTGCATTTTGGACGAGTTCCATGGATCGGCCAATGAGTCGAATGATGAAAAAGGATCGGAGACCAGAGAATGGCTGGTTAAAGCAAAAAGGGCTGAGGAACAGCTCTCGAAGTTTTTGGTCAAAGCAGCTCAAGTTCAGCAAGTGGTACAAGAGAATACTGCGCTGGAGGCAGCGGAGGAGGTCGAGTTCCTGCAAACAAAAACAATCCCTACACAAGAAGCCATGCAAGAGCTGGAGAAGTGGAGGGAATCATTGTCGGACGAGGTGAAGTCTTTGGTTAAAGAGTTGGAAGTGGTGGAACCAACAACTCAAGAAAAGCTGGACAAATTGGCGGAAGAGCCTAATGCACCGGTGATTGAGTACGTTCCCAGTCTGGTGGTGTTTACCCGAAAACAAGGGACAGGGAGGAGGCGTGCCCGTATCTGTGCATGTGGGAACTTTATTTCGTCAACGGCAGCTACAGAATACGAAGGGCCAAGGTCCCTCAGTCGTCACTCGCTGTACGCTCCAGGTTTAGATTCAACTACATTTAGGTGCCAAGTGAGGCACGCAGCACATATGGTGTGGATCATCGCTGGCTTAGACATCTCCAAAGCTTTTCTGACGGCGCCGATGAATAGGGCGCAAAGAGAAGGGCGTTTGGTGGTGGTGCAGCCCCCAAGGGCGGCGGTGAAATTGGGTCTTTGCACAAAAGAGGAGCGGTGGATTGTGAGGAAGGCCTTGTACGGTTTGGCCGAAAGTCCTGCAGCATGGGTGGAGTGGCGAGACCAACGTCTTCAAGGCATGTCTTGGGTGTCAAAAGATGGACAAGCAATGAGCTTTCAGAGGTCCAACGCAGACCCAAGTCTGTTCCTTATTATGGCACAAGAAAAGCCGGAAGGTGTAAGCAAGTTGGTGGGGACAATGGGTCTTTACGTGGATGATTTTTTGATGGCTGGGACTATGACAGTGCTCCGGGAAGCCTTGGAACAGATCAGGAAGGAGTGGAAAACTTCTGAACCCGAGTTCTGTGGTCCAGGCTGTGGTGATGGATTCCTGAAGTTTTTGGGTGTCCAAATCTGGTACCGAAATGGCAGCTTCCTTCTCAACCAGGAGGACTTCGTGAGAGATTTGCTGAACCGAAGAGGGTATCAGATTGATGAAACTGGAAAAGGTAGTAACCTGCCAATGGTGAAAGAAACTCCAGGTGAAGAAGAGGAGGTGGATATTCCCTCCTTGCGAGCGGCTCAAGGTGCCGTAGGGGAGTTCCTCTGGGCGGCAATCAAAACTCGACCTGATTTGGCTTTCTGCACAAGCCAGTTGTCTTTGTGGACATCCCGAAGGCCGCGATTTGTGGTTAAAAAGGCTGAGGAGGTATTTCGATACCTTGCTGCAACTCCAACGTTAGGCCTGACGTTTGGTGCAATCGCAACATGCGAAAAAGAAAGGAATGAGGTGTTGCGTTATGGGCGAGGCGTCAAGGTGGTGGAGTCTTACGCGGATGCTAGCTTTGCAGCAGGTGAAAACGAAAAGAGCCACTCAGGAGCGGTGGTGGTTTGGGGTGATTGTCCAGTGATGTGGGCAACGCAGAGACAATCAACGGTGGCTTTGAGCACTGCTGAAGCTGAATTGCATGCGTCTATAGAGGGAGCAACGATGATCCAGTCGTGTACCCCTATAATTGCCGCTTTGGTTGGAACAGGTGAAGAATCGCTGCAAAAGGTGCTGTATACAGATTCGGTTTCGACGTGTTCAATCATTCAATATCCTGCTGGTAGCTGGAGAACAAGACACCTGAGAATTCGAGCAGCTGGTGTCAGGTCTCTGGTGGACCGTGGTTACATGGTGATAGCGCATCTTCGTGGTGAGTATATGATTGCTGACCTGTTGACAAAATTGATGAGTGGACAGGTTTATGCAAAGCAAAAGGCACTTTGGGGTCTCCAACTGTTAGTGCAAGGAACTGACTTGAAAAGGGCCTCTCTTGCAATGGCGGTCATGATGGTGGCTGCATCCCTGCAAGGGATGGCAACAGGTGGAGAAGAAGTGTCAGCTGCTGGTTTCTTTTGCTCAGAAGAAGGGGTGTGCCAGGTCGCCAATACATCTACGGTTATGGTTCTGGCTCAAGGTATTGAAATGGTTATCAACAATTCAGACCTTGTTGCGTATTTGGTGGCAGCAATCATAATCTGGGAATTGACATGGTGCCTCTTTCGGCGGCTGTACAAATGGCTGTGGATCAAGAAAGTGGTGGTTATTCCTGCGAGTGCCACTCTGTATACAACAGTGGGTGGGAACTGTATGCACGCAAGCAGTGATTGTGATGTTCTGCGATATTCACAGCCCAGGGCTAAGACGCTTTGCAAGCATTGCCTCAAGGATGGCTGGGTGGTGAATGCTGAGTTCCTTGGTGAGGAACGGGCCGCTGGAACGTAAACTTTTTCAAGTTCGAGGTGAAGAAATCCTCAGTGGTAAGGGATTCGGCCAATGAGCTGAAGGGGCGTCCTGGAAGACGTAAAACCATAATGTGCATTTCAAGCAGCTGGCTGCTGCCTAAACGGTGGTTTTTGGCCCAGGATCTGCACCTCCAACGTGTCCTAGGAAATCCTAGGACAGGGGGAGTGCGGAGCTGCTGCTGGTATTGTAGAAAAGAGTTAGTGTTGGAAGTTGAAAGGGTTAATAAACCCGGAAATCATTTTTATGGCTCAAGACTGGGCCATGTGCCTGGTAGTAAAAGGTGAGTGCCCTGTGGTTTGGGTTTGTTGTGTGGTTGATCCAGGGAAATCAAGGGCTTCTGTTGGGGTTGACTGTTCGGTTTCTCGTCCCCCTTCGGTTCCCCCCGTATAGGGTTTAGGGTTTAGGGTTTAGGGTTTAGGGTTTAGGGTTTAGGGTTTAGGGTTTAGGGTTTAGGGTTTAGGGTTTAGGGTTTAGGGTTCCCAGAAGCCTTCGATGCGCCGCTTCTAAGCAGCCCCCCAAAAACATACTTGCCATTACGAAGCCCTGTTTGTTTTTTTTGGGGGGGGTGGGGGGGGGTTTCCCGAAATTTGGGGTACCTTATAATCCGACTCTTTGGGGGGGGGGGGGGGGGGGGGAGTGCCATATTAGGGGCCCCTTATTTTCGCAAACTCCCAAAACCCTAAACCCTAAACCCTAAACCGTGCGTAGGGTCGTCAAGGTAAGGCTCATGGTGTCCTTTGGCCAAGGCACCCGGGCGTCCGCTGGCGATGTCCGACCCCGCCCCGCGGCTCACCTACGGAAAGAACGGGTTGCGGCTTAAGGTGTAGGGTTTAGAGTTTAGGGTTTAGGGTTTAGGGTTGAGGGAGTGTTGAGGGTTGAGGGTTTACGGTTGTCAGGCTTTGGTGCTTGTAGGACTGAAGGTTTAGGGTTTTTGACCGGCTTCGGTGGTTAAAGGTTCAACCCTGAACCGCTTCAGGGTCGACCCCTCTTTACACTCCGAACCCTGATTTACATGAGGTGCTAATTGATTTCTAGGGTTTCCCGGCAGCTCTTGTAGTCGAGAGGGCCTCCTTCTTTTAACTCAAAAGCTTGACGAGGTAACCTGAGGGAGAAGGATGAAACCCGGGTTCCCGTTTCTTGCGGGAGAGGAATGGGGCCTCTTGGCTTTGGAGCTCTTGGGCGGCGATTTGTTTCACGCAGCTCTTCTGCATCACTCTGCAACAGGTTCGGGTTTAAGGGCGTAGGCCCTTGTTGTCTGGGTAAGTTGCTGGTTGGAGCCAGGACTCATGAGCTCAGCATTCGAAACCGGTGGAGTTGCAAGGTAGCTACACCTGGCCAAGTCCAGAAAAATTCGGCCTCGGCCCAGCCACCCAACCAAACCACCCAAACGAGCCCCCGAAAGGCCCGAAGCCCGCGGACTTCCCCCTAAACCCTAAGCCCTAAGCCCTAAGCCCTAAACCCTAAACCCGAAGCCCTAAGCCCTAAACCCTAAACCCTCATCCCTGGATTCTCCCCAGAATATCTCAAACCCCACCCCGAATCCCCGAGCCCGACACGCCATGGGCTCCCAGCACTAGGGCTTTTTAGGGTTTAGGGTTTAGGGTTTAGGGTTTAGGGTTTAGGGTTTAGGGTTTAGGGTTTAGGGTTTAGGGTTTAGGGTTTTAGGGTTTAGGTTTCAAAGTGCGCCTCGCACCAAGACATGTAGAGGAGGATCTGGGTCCAGCCACCTCGCGGGGCCCACTGCTTGGGGGGAGAGGGGGGGGTTTGGGGTGAGCTTGAGCTTTTCAGGCATTTTTAGGGTTCTGGGTGGACGGGGGAGGGGGTGGGGGGAGGGGGGCTTCTTGATGAGGGGGGCTGAGGGTGCCTTGAGGATCTGGATGAGGTCGCAAACCCAAGAAAAACAACGGTTCGAGGGCCCTGGAGCCCAGCCTTTTGTGGTGCCCTGAATTATACCCTAAACCCTAAATCCTAAATCCTAAACCCTAAACCCTAAACCCTAAACCCTAAACCCTAAACCCTAAACCCTAAACCCTGCGTGCGCTTGTCGCTTGCAGGGCACTCTAGGGGCAGTCCCGCGGTTTTTTTCTGGCAACCTCTCCAGCCCGAAGCCTGAACCAAGCCACGCTCAAGAGCACCAGGGCAGCTCTCTGAATGTGCTTCCCCTTTTTTGGGGCCGCCCTTTGGGTTTAGGGTTTAGGGTTTGGGGTTTGGGGTTTGGGGTTTAGGGTTTAGGATTGGGTTTAGGGTTTGGGGTTTAGGATTGGGTTTAGGATTTGGGGTTTAGGGTTGGGTTTAGGGTTTAGGTGTTAGGGTTTAGTCCACCAGCCTGCGGGAACCTTGGAAAGGGCTGCCAGGCCGTTTGGGACGTCGGCGAACTTCAAGCCGGCCGAGGGCGAGAGGAAGCCTCCGGAGAAGCACTCGTTCCTTTCTGCTGAATTTTGTCGGATTTTGTAGGGTTTAGGGTTTAGGGTTAATGTTTAGGGTTTAGGGTTTAGGGTTTAAGGGGGTTTCCGAAATTAGGGGTACCTTCTTGGGATCCTTCTTATCAGGGAATCCTACTATTTGGGGGGTCTATCTTAGGAGTTCCCCCAATTTCGGAAACCCCCATTGAAGTTTCTGCGCCTTTGTCTTTTGTTTGCTTTCAACGGGGCCGGGCTTCTGGGATCTTCTGGGGACGTAGGGCAGAGGGCTACGAGGAGGAGAGAGAGAGAGATCGCCAGGGTCGTGCGTTGAATTGGACAGGGGCAAGCACCTACTTCGTGGATGTTTGGAACAAGAGCAGCAGTCCTGAGTTTTGAGTCTACAGATTTTGGCTGTGACCAAGCCTATATCGAGAGTAGATCACCCCAAAAGCACAAAACTGATCCCCCCCCACCCAGCCCAAAGAACCCCCCTTGGCTACAGTCATCAAGGCCGCACAGAGTGTGGTCGTTGTGGCTGTGACGACAAGATCCCTTCATGAATAAACATACACATGCAGTACAAAACTATAGCTATGCGTATGTGTACTATACATCACTCTCTTCATCTAGCCCGAAACACGCCTAACGCCTAACCCTATCCCTCAATCCCAAACTCGTAACCTGAATTTGACACTCTCCACGGTCTGGCGCCTGGGAACTTGCCGGCAATCTCTGGGGTGATGTATCCTTACAAGCAGGCATGCAGGGGATAGGGTCGGTTGATAGGGTCTTAGTTAGGCTTTAGGGTTTAGGGCTCAGGGTTCAGGCGGTTCAGGAGTTTAGGCTTTACGGGTTCAGGGCTGAGGGGCTGTTTAGGGTTGATAGGCCTCTCGAGGAAGACGCTAAACCCAAACCCGAAGCCCTAAGCTCTAAACCCTAAACCCTAAACCTGTTGTTTGGCCGCGTCGCCCATGGTGGCGAGCATGGCGATACGCCCGTGCTTCAGCTCCACGGAGCGCCTGCGCATGAAGGCCTGGGAGCTAGACACAGGGTTTAGGATTTAGGGTTCAGGGTTTAGGGGGGTCTAGGGGGGTCTAGGGGGGTCTAGGGGGGTCTAGGGGGGTCTAGGGGGGTCTAGGGGGGTATAGGGGGGTTTAGGGGGGTTTAGGGGGGTTTAGGGGGGTTTAGGGGGGTTTAGGGGGGTTTAGGGGGGTTTAGGGGGGTTTAGGGGGGTTTAGGGGGGTAGGGTTGAGGGTCGAGGGTTTAGGGTTGAGGGCTTGGGGTCTGGGGTTTAGGCTTCGGGCGGCACTAGTGTTCCAGGGCGAAAGGCTTGAGGATTCGGCTGTCTGGGGGGGCTTCAGCACGACGGCAAATGGGTGGGCTCCTGGTGTGCAAATGGGTGGGCTTCTGGTGCTCCGGAGAGCTTTTGTGTTGTGGCATATCAACTTCGGACCTAGCGTCAAACCCGATCCGAAACCCCAAACCGTAAATACAATACCCCAAGCCCGAAGCCCTAAACCGAGCCGACCTCCACATCGCCATCTCGGGCAAGGCCGAGCGGATCCCAGTAGCCGACCTTGCTGCTTGCATTGCTGCGGGGCTTCCGGGCTTCCAGGGCTTACCAGGAATTTAGGGGTTTAGGGTTGAGGGTTGAGGGTTTTAGGGTGTAGGGGTTGGGGCTACTTTGGCCTTTAGTAGTTCGGGCTCGGAGGCAAGTTGAATCAGGCGGCTTGATGCAAGCGGGTCTCCAGGAGCATCTATCCCCAACACCTCTGCCCAACCCCCCTCCCTCTGCCCCACCCCCCCCCCCCGCCCCGGCCCCCCCTCCCCGCGACCCCCAGCCAGCAGCTACCCACACCCTACCCTCCCCTCAAGAACTCAACGCGCCCCTAAACCCTAAACCCTAAACCCTAAACCCTAAACCCTAAACCCTAAACCCTAAACCCAAGAACAAAGAAGGACGAGAACGAGCATGACCGCCGAGCAGCGGGAGGCTGCACCCCCAGTTCGGACTCGAAGGCTCGCAGCCTTGATTGTGACGGGTTTGGGGTTTAGGGTTTAGGGTTTAGGGTTTAGGGTTTAGGGTTTCGGGTTTCGGGTTTCGGGTTTCGGGTTTCGGGTTTCGGGTTTCGGGTTTCGGGTTTAGGGTTTAGGGTTTTAGTCTGAGGGTTCAGTAGGGGATGGGATTAGGGGGACCCTTTGGGGATAAAGACCCTCTGTCTAAGGGTCCCCCTTTATCCTACCTAGGGTTGAGGATCCTGGGGGGTTTGGGGTGTCAGGAACTGTTCTGCTTGACCTTACGCTTTTCAGTCAGCACACCGCCCAGACCCCACAACCCAAAAGAAACCCGGAGCCTGCCGACGAATGCTACAGGCATGGGTGCCCTCAGCAAGAAGCCGAGCTTCTTTATGCAGCTTGGTTGCAACATATGCGCTCGAAAAGCATAGGTTTGGGGGGGCCCTCAGGTAGACTGCCAGGAGGCGCGGTGACGTTGGCCTTGACGGCCACCTTCCTGTTGCTGGCCTTCCGAGCTTCTGCGAAAAAACCAAAGACGAAGGAGGAGTTCTCTAAAGGCCTTGTAGGGCTGCACGGGGAGTTGGGAGCTGATTCGGGCTTCTCGGATCTTGATTAGAGCAGAGCGTCTGCGTAGACAGCGCCCGCGGAGGCCGCCACGACGGCGGCTGCGGAGAACGGCGCGCTGGAGGGCGCAGGTCGTGCCTCGCGCAGGATTTAATAACTCAGGCTTTAGGGCTTCCCCCTACCCCCCCCTTGGGTGTCGGGGCTCGGAGTTCGGGAGTTGGGGAGGTAGAGAGGGAGTTTCGGGATTCAGAGCAAACCAGGGCTGCATCCTGCCTGCTGCTGCGCCTGGGTGGTTGCGCGAAGGGCGCCTGAAACGGAAAGGGGTGCTGTACCTCTCAACTTCTCCCTGATCCCTGAACCCTCAGAACCCCAACACCTCCGCCCCTCCCCTCTCATCCCAAACCCTCCACACCCCCCCAAACCCAAACCCCGAACCCGAAGTGCTCCTGCAACACTGTAACCCTAAACCCTAAACCCCAAACCCTAAACCCAAACCCTAAACCCCAAACTCCAAACCCTAGACCCTAACCCCGAGCCTTTTGGCTGGCTGCTGGTTCCGGCGATGAAGGCGCTTCCCGCCACGACGGAGGCCAGGCCTTCTTTAGGTATGCTTTGAGGAATTAGTTCAGAGGGCTTAGAGTTTTGAGCTTAGAGTTTTGACTTTAGGTATGCTTTTAGGAATTAGTTCAGAGGGCTTAGAGTTTTGAGCTTAGAGTTTTGAATTTAGGGAAAGCTTCGAGCCTGGGGTAGAAGTATCCGTGCAGCAACGGCTGTACATTCGCAAATGTTGTTGCGCCCATTGCTTGGCCTCGCTTTCCTTGCTTGCTCGGGCAGGGCATCCCCTTTCCGAAGACGCACTAAACCCTAAGCCTAAACCCTAAACCCTAAACCCTGCGGAAAACCGAGGCTTGACTTTCAAAAAGGTCATCAGCCACTGAAGACCATCATCACAAAACCCTCACCAACCACCCCCTCCCCCCTGCAGGTTTCGAAAGCTAATCTTATTAATCTTATTAGTATTATTAGTATTATGAGTATTAATAGTATTACATAGTATTCTTAGTATTACTAGCATTATTAGCATTATTAATATTCTTATTCGTTTTCTGAATATTCATAATTTTAATGTGAATAACATGCATAACATCATTACTACTACCAATAACATTCTGAACGCTAACAATCTCATCTTTCTTAATACTGTCTGGGCGCCCAGGCCCACGGCCGTGCCAACCTTGGAGGCCATCCTGCTAATGGAGAATGTGGACAGCTCTGTGCGTCGAGCACAAAAAATTCTTCGAGCCCCGGCTTTGGGCTCTGCGGCCGGGCGAGCGGGTTTAGGGTTTAGGGTTTAGGGTTTAGGGTTTAGGGTTTAGGGTTTAGGGTTTAGGGTTTAGGGTTTAGGGTTTAGGGTTTAGGGTTTAGGGTTTAGGGTTTAGGGTTTAGGGTTTAGGGTTTAGGGTTTAGGGGCTTGTCTTTTCAGCGCAGCAACCTCCCTTGGGCTTTGCAGGGCAGATCTCTTCAACCGTGGGAGGCTCTCACTTCTGAAGCGCTGTATATACACCTGTGGGCCCCTGCAAGATACTTCCGAGCGAAACTTCACAGTGTCCTCTGAAACCCCTCGGTCGGCCTAAACCCTAAACCCTAAACCCTCATCCCTGGTCCCCTAAGCGCTCGCATCTGGGTTGGTTTTTTGTCTGCTTCGCGGAGGAGGCGGGCCCCTCCCCTGGCCTCCTGACCGTCTCAGGCAACCGAGTTTTTTGGGGCTTCGGGGCAGATCCCTTAATTTGGGGGATTTAAGATGATTAGGGGGCACCCTTCTTTGGGGTCCTTGTTGTAAGGGGATCCTACTATTTGGGGGTCGGGGGTCCCCTGTTTTCGTAAACCCCCTTTCTGGCTTCGTTGATCTAGATACTTGCAAGTGCAGGTCACTGAAAGTTGCGCCGGTCAGTGAGGACAGGCCATTGATGGTTGAGGTCTTGCGCCGTCTGATGATCTTCGCATGCCAAGAATCGCCAAGCGAGGCCTACGGTTCTAAGTTTTGGGGTGTTTAGGGCTCCACGCAAGGCCTCTAGCACCAAGAGGAAGGGGCCCAAGCCAAACGCTTTCTGGGGTCTTTGGTGGCCGTGGCTGTCAGTGCTTGTGGCAGCCGGCAGTGACATAGTAGCGCCTTCGGCCGCGACGTCAACCCCGAACGCCATAAAAACTCAGTACATTCTCAACCTCTCACCTGTGACCACCCCCTGAACTGATAAGCCCCGAAGCCCTAAAGCGCCTTACCCTAAACCCTAAACCCTAAGCCCTAAGCCATAAACCCTTAGTAAAGGTCCCAAAGGCACTTGCGAGCCGCTGAGATTTGTTGGTTTCGGGGTTTCGGGAGTTCAGGGCTTTTTGAAGCTACCCTAAACCCTAAACCCTAAACCCTAAAGCCTAGACCCTAAACCTAAACCCTAAACCGAAACCCTAAACCCGTCCAAGGCCCCTCAAAGCCCTACGAAGCTCCGAGAAGAGTCCTGAAGATGCTCCACTCCGATTCTTCGCAGGCGCCGCTGCAAGCCCGAAGTCCCGAAAAAAGGGTTTAGGGTTTAGGGTTTGGGGTTTAGGGTTTAGGGTTTGGGGTTTAGGGTTTAGGGTTTAGGGTTTAGGGATTAGGGTTTAGGATTTGGGGTTTAGGGTTTAGGGTTTGGGGAGGCCCTGAACCCCAAACCCCTTCCGTCGTCGGAAGTGCCTGCAACCTAGGCGTCTGGAAGCCTTCGGAAGGTGCGGGGCCGGGGTCCAAAAACCCTAAACCCTAAACCCCTAAACCCCAAAAACCCTAAACTCTAAACCCCCAAACCGTTAAAACCCCAAACCCCAAACCCCAAACCCTAGAACCCTAAAACCAGCACATCGACACAAACATCTTGCAGCCCGTGCTCCGTTTGGTGCGTCCTATGTCCTCTTCTGATACCTCGGCTCGGGTTTGGGGTTTAGGGTTTGGGGTTTGGGGTTCAGGGTTTAGGGTTAGGGTTTTCGGTTTTCGGTGTTCGGTGTTCGGTTTTCGGTTTTCGGTTTAGAGTTTAGGGTTTAGGGTTCAGGGTTTGGGGCTGGTACTTTTTGAACCTGTCTGGCCCCGCACCTCGGTTTGACTGGAGACCCCACGCCTTGGCTTCTCACTCCACCGTCTTTCCGGCCCAGCTTTCTTCCCCCTAAACCCTAAACCCTAAACCCTAAACCCTAAACCCCAAGCCCTAAACCCTAAACCCTAAACCTCCACCGCGCTTGCAAAAGCTTGCGAAGCTCGCGCTCTCCCTGACTCTCCCCTCTTGGTACCCCAGTAGCCATATTACAATAATAAGGGCACCCTTTTTTGGTTGGCTTATTTGTAAGGGGAACCTTGAACGAACAAAAAAAAGGGAGAAGGGTACCACTGGGGCTACCAAGCCCTAAATCAAACCTTCTCCTCCTCATCTTCTGCTTCGGCTTCTCCTTGGCCTTGCGCATCCCAACCCCAAACCCTAAACCCTAAACCCCAAACCCTAAACCCCAAACCCTAAACCCTAAACCCTAGTCCCCTCGCTCTCCCCTGGCTGAGTCTGCCGAGGCGCTCGTCGCGGAAAGCCGCGACCTGTCCTCGGACCTTGGGATCCGGAGATTTAGAGCTTACTCAAGGTTCAAGGTTCAAGGTTCAAGGCTCAAGGCTCAGGGTTCAGGGTTCAGGGTTTAGACCGGGTCAAAGAAGTTCAGCTGCGAGCCCTTTTGGCTTTGAGACGCTTCGGGGTGCCCTTCGTGCGGTCTCAGCCCCCTTGGGGCGCAGGAGGTCTTGCGGGATGCGTTGCTTGCCATAAGAGAAAAGCAGCAACTCGTATGGTTTAGGTACAGCACAACGTTCAATCTTTTGCATGCACCCCTCAACGAAGCGTGTCCAAAAAGGGGTCATCAGGAGCCTTTAAGCCTTTAAGCTCCCTGCTCCATGTACTGCTGGGTTACCCCGTCCGTCCCCACAGGCACAAGTCGTGCCTGCAAACTGGGTCCATCTTGAAGTCGGATCTCCACGCTTAGGGTTTAGGGTTTATGGTTTAGGGTTTCGGGTTTAGGGTTTAGGGTTTCGGGTTTCGGGTTTAGGGTTTAGGGTTTAGGGTCAGCCCTGAGCCCTGAGGCACTCTGAGGCACTTGGGGTCCCACTCGCTCGCACAAGCGATCTAGCCTGAGCTAGCGGGCATTGTAGGGTCGACTCTGGACAGGCATCGGCAAGGTGCTATACACCGGGCAAGTACCCTAAACCCTAAACCTCAAACCCTAAACCCTAAACCCTCAACCTAAACCCTAAACCCTAAACCCTGAGCCCTAAACTAGTTCTAAAACCCAAAGTTGCTGAAGGGAATGCCTCATTCCACACGAGGTCTCTCATTTCGACATTGGCAGCGGTGGTACAAGTCTCTTTCTGGTCGCGGGATGGAGGGAGGGAATAGGCATAGACGCAAGCGATGCGAACCTCAAGAAGCACAACCTGGAATGCTGCATGGCCTTGTTGAGATTTGATGGTTCTCATGGACCTCAAGGACACCCAAACTATAACAGCAGAATTCGCGGACTAAAGCGCTCCATTCCCCTGAGATGCCGGCCACTCATTGGCCAGTGGCAAAACTTCTTCAGAAGGGCCTCACTGACTTGCGCACGCAGTGCCATCTCGAGAGCGGGTTAGAGCACAGGGCATTCCGAAAAGCGCCTTCAACAGACGCCAACTCGGAAGACATTGAAGAGACCTATGCGCCCGCATGCCAAGCGCCTTAAAGCGCTCCCTCTAGAGCTCTCATGCCCTACACACCCCTTGACACCGATTCGCACCCTCTGAAGCGATGAGCCGCGGGCCGGAATTCTTCCACTTGGCCTTCATTTGCAGCCTCATGGAATGGCCCCAGGGGTTTCAGGAAGGGATCCAAGTTCAAGGGCCCTAAGCAACTGTAACAGAAGTTGAGGGGTCTCGGGTTTAGGGTTTAGGGTTTAGGATTTATGGGGTTTTGGGAAACCTTTAGGGGAAACCTGCGGTCTGTCTCAGAAGAACATACAAGAACCCGAGGGCTTGCACGCCAGGCCAGCCTTGCAACGAAGTCGCCACAAAATTGCCAAGCTCCCTCCCGGCCCTCAACAAACGCTACTGCAAGTCTTGTGAGAACCCTGCCCAGCTCTCAAAATCTTGCGATCCTGGGTCTTATCTTGGGTCTTATCTTGGGTAGTACCTTGGGTCGTACCTTGGGTAGTACCTTGGGTCGTACCTTGGGTATTATCTTGGGTCGTACCTTGGGTAGTACCTTGGTTCCATGCGGGAGCCCTAGCATGGTGTCAGGGCTCCATCCCAGAGCTTGGGAGAAGGCCGTGAGGGTCCAGGATTTGGGGTTTGGGGTTTAGGGTTTAGGGTTTAGGGTTTAGGGTTTAGGATTTCGGGTTGAGCGTGCAGGGCTTTAAGGTTTGCAGGGCGCAGTCGTATGCAAGTCACAATGCGTTGCAACGAATGTCAACTGTCAAGTTTCGGCTCCTAAGCCTCGTTACTACGTCGTTTTCGTCGCACTCCGCGCCCTGAACCCTGAGCCCTAAGCCCCGAAGCTCCCGTTGAGAACCCATGGTAATGGTGGTCTACCCGAGGTTGGAGGCTTCTACCCTTCATCCCCTGGTTTTGGGTACCAGCCACCAGAGCCACGAGCTTCTTCGCGCAACAGCCCCCGCATGCCCCCGCAGGGGGAGGGGTGGGGTGGGGTCGGGTAGGCTTCTCAAGGCCAGGGTTGCGGATGCCAGGCCGCCCGACTCGCCAGGGGGCGTCACGTCGATTAGGTCGGGGAGGCTGAGCGTCTGGGCCGCAGGTGGCATCGGGGGGCATGTCGGGGGTAGCGGCTTGAGGTGAATCCTGTACGCTCAACAGGAGAAAGTGCATGAACGTAAGGCTGTAGGGATTCGTATGAGTATTGTATGGGTATCCCTGCACGTGGAACACCTCGGCAAGGAAGTGCGAGGCTTTCTTCAGGCATCCAGCTCTTCGCCATACTCGGAAGGTGGCGCTGCTACTTTTCTCCAGGCTGTTTCTATCGCCCTGAACCTCTTCCTTATAATGCGGTTATAAACGGTCTGTGTAAGAGCGCACGAGACACAGAGGAGCGCACAGTGGGCGTTAGGAAGAATCCTCTCGGTACACTGAAAAACCGGTGCACAAGTTCCTTCGAATCTGAAGGAGCTTCTGACACGTCCGCTTTCGCTGGAAGGCTTCAGGAGTGCTGCCGAGCTACCATGTTCCAAGCCGTTTAGCATTGTGCTTTAGGGTTTAGGGTTTAGGGTCTAGGGTTTAGGGTAATACCAGACCTAACAGCTAGCTTGCCGAGGTGGGTTGACTCAGCGACTCCGTCCCGTCACTCAGCTTTCTTTGGCCTCTTTCGCTGCGCTGCGCTTCGAGGTTGATGCCCCTCCATACTCAAGACTGTCTGCAATCGCTAGACCCCACATTGTGCCCCGACGCCGAAAACCCTGCCCAAACCCTAGACCCTAAACCACCCCAAATAGACCCTGCACCTTAAACTCTAAGCCGCCGGTAGAAGCCCTAGATCCCCAAAATGTAGGCCCGGAGCAAGTCCTAAACCTCAAGAGCCTTCAGCCCTACAACTGAGACTCGCACGCCGCTCAGCTTGTCCGTTCCCAAGGTCATGGAAAACCCGACTTCTGCTTCGTAGTTGAAGCCTTTGGTGGAGGGTGCTTGAGGTGTCAGCGTTGGGGCTTGGGAAGTTCAGGGTATTTACCATGGTGCAGCGCAGAGGGTGTGGGGATTTGGGTGTATAGGGCCTAGGGCTAAAGCCGAGACCCTGCGTCTCACATCGGTTGGGTTTCCAGGCTTCATCACCTTTCGTGCGACTGAGGGGAGGGGGTGGGGGGGGGGGGGTTATAAGCTTGGGGCAGCGCGACACAAAAGGTATTCAGTGGAAGCTCGCGCACCTACCAACTGGCTTGGTGCCCGAACACAACCCCAAAAACTCGAAATAAACACCCTAAATTTTAGGGCCCAAAAACAACCCTAAACCCTAAACCCTAAACCCTAAACCCAAAAACAAAATGAAAGCCCTCTTCAGGGTTCCCTCTCTGTGGGCCCCGGCCGTGTCGGACCTGCTTTCGAACATACACGATGTGGGCCTGGGCACATGCTGCCAGCCCTTTGGGGCCAGGGCATGCCACCTCCCCAACCCCGCATCTCGCACGCAAAAACCAAAACCCTAAATCCCTTACTCCTATAGTCCCCTTAGAACCTCAAAAAAAAAGCTACTTTTAATATCCTCTTGGGTTTCACATGAACAAATAATTTTCCCCCAGGGGGATAGAGCCGGGCCTCGCCACTCAGCGACTTCACCTTCGTCACCTGAGCGCTTGCTTTGCCCGCAAGCGGCTCAAGGTTCAAGAACAGGGTTTAGGGTTTAGGGTTTAGGGTTTAGGGTTTAGGGTTTAGGGTCTAGGGTTTAGGGTTTAGGCATACTTTCGCGGGCCCTTGTCCACTTTCAGATCAGGGAGGGGAACTTGCTTGGCTCGGGCTTCGCAGTTTGTGGGGAGATCTTGCTGTACGAAGCTGCTGCCCGAGCCCCCCCTGAAAACTAAGCCCTAAACCCCAGACCTCAAACCCCAAGCCTAAAACCCTAACCGTAAGCTGTGCCCCAAGACCGGCGTGCCTTGGCGGTGACTTCCCCGATGCTGCCGTCAGGCAGGGTCACCTTCAGCTGCAAAAAAGCGCATAATATGGCCACCTCTCTGTATTATGCTCCCTTTTGCCTTTTGGGGCTGCTGTTGTAAGGCGGCCGCTGGTATTTAGGGTACCCCCCAAAAAGAGACCAGAATTTTGTGAACTGACCATATGGAGAACAGGAGGCCCCTTGGCCCTCATGTCTTCGCAGACCATCCAGTGCTGAGCATCTGACATTGGAGCTCGAAACGCAGGCATCGCTGAGCCTGCGTGGGCAAGAAGCTTGAAGCATCGGCAGACTGTCCCGGCTACACCCTGACCCGGAGAGGACTAAAGCCACACGCCCGAAGCACAACATAGTTTTTTGACCAACAGATTGCTGCCTGTCAAAGATTTACAAAGGCATCTTGACCGGTGTTGCTCTATGATTTGTGAGCCCTAAACCACCCTGAACCTGACTGCCCGACAGCCCGTCCAACAACACTCAAAAACCCACAAAAACTCCCAAACCCACCCACCCAAAAACCCTCCCTCAAGATTCAGACCCGCAATACAAACGATCCCGAGGTCCCGGCCACGCGCTCAATCTATCCTTCGCCCAGGACCTGGGTGCTGACACCAACTCCGTGCATTCTATGTATGCATGTGTTTTTGTACTGTAGGAAGACAGATCATTGCCCCTCCCCCGCTGAAACAAGCGCCTTTATTCGGGAACTAACTCAAGGGTCTAAAGGAGGGATAGGGTAACGTATGGGCTACTTAGGTTTGCAGCGACAAAATAAGGTATCTATTGGGGGGTTATATAGAGGAATAAGATTTTTAAGGTCCCTTCTAGGGGTCCCTCCTTATATCCCTTAGGGAACGCTGGCCTCAGGCATATAATGGATGTCATATAGGGGTTTCCGAGATTAGGGGGGTACCTTCTTGGGGTCCTGATTATAAAGGAATCCTGCTACGGTCCCCTATTGGGCCCATATAGTGGTTTCCACCCCCAAAATACTCCTTATTATAGGAACCCCAAGAAAGGGTACCCCCTCTTTTTGGTCAACCCCCATAATGGGGGGAATAAGATTCAGCCGTGAACGAACCTTCATAACTGCCGCCCGTGCTGCGACGCATCCTTCTCCTCCCAGGTTCCTGCCTGCGTTCGGCCCCAAACCCTACACCCCAAACCCTAAACCCTAAGCCCGAAACCCTAAACCCGAAACCCTAAACCCGAAAGTCCCTAAAGCCTAAACTATACTAGGGCGGCTTGGGATTGGGGGTTGGGGGAGTTTCGGGCTTTGGAGACTTTGGGGAGGTGAAAGGTTTTGGGAAAGTGGCGGCCTGAACCTTGAACCCTTCAAATCTTCAGCCATAATGTACGCATAAACCCGTACACCTTTTGATACAAACCCCATAAACCTTGTAAACCCTTACACCTCAAAACCCCTGAAAACCCCAAAAACCCTGAAAACCCTAAAAACCCTCAAAACCCGCCTCAAAACCCTAAAACCCTCAAAAACCTCAAAAACCCTCAAAACCCTCAAACCCTCAAAACCGTGCTCCCGCTCTGGGCAGGCCTGATTCCACTCGCTGCCCGCCACGGCACCGGAGGTGGGCGACGCGGGGTCGGTGACCTCCGGATGGCTTCGGGGTCTCGGAGGACAGGCTTGGTGTTCTTGGGATTTAGGGTTTAGGGTTTAGGGTTTAAGGTTTAGGGTTTCGGGCTTGGGGGTTTCGGGCTTAGGGGTCTGTGAACCTGGGTTAGAACACGTTTTTTTTGTGGGGATTGGGTGATCTTCAATCGACACATTGTAGCCCAAGCCCCGAGTCCAAAACTTTGAACCCGGTAGGGGCCTAGGCCCTAGGCTGCACCTACGTCACTACGCCACCGCGCGTGGGCCCAGAGGCCACCTGGCGAGGCTGAGCACGAGACCAGCTGCGGCTTCGGCGCGGCATCGGAGAGGACCTTCGTAGGAGGGGGCTGGGGGGGGGGGGGGGGGGGGAGGGAGAGCTCTCTCTATCAGAACATGCCTCCCCCCTTGCAAATGATTAGCTGCTTAGAGGACATCCCTTACAGGTTCTGGCCACCAAAACGGATCAAGGGCCCCAGCAAGGATGAGCGTTTGGGGATCGCGGGGCTCGGGAGTTATGTGAGCTTCGGGGCCGAGCTCGAGTTCTTGAGAACTTCGTTGGTGCGTGCTGCCTAACGTTTAGGGTTTAGGGTTTAGGGTTTAGGGTTTAGGGTTTAGGGTTTAGGGTTTAGGGTTTAGGGTTTAGGGTGAGGAATGCGGACTGCCAACCCGAGCGAGGGGCTCTGCAAGCCCATGAACCGCCATGGCACGAAACCCAGACCCTGCCAAAGAGAGGAAGCAACAACTTTTGGCGATTTAACAAACCCCTGAATCTGAAAAAACAAATCTTCGCATGGAACAACCTACCCAAACCCCTCCGCCTGAACCGCCGAACTCCTGGAACTCCCAACGCTCTCAGCCTCAAGGCCCCTTTACGCAGCATCTGATTCAGGTTGGTGGGGTTAAGTCTAGGACGTGTCTACGTCGAGGTGCATCAATCACTATGTGGGGGTTCCGAAAATAGGGGACACCTAAAATAGACCCCCAAATAGTAGGACTCCCTTGTAATCAGGACCCCAATAAGGTACCCCTAAAAGCGTAAACCTCATTTGCAGCTCGATGGAAGGAAGAAAAACCTGAAGTGGCATCGCATGCCAAACAAAGAAGTCCCAACATTCGATGACTGCTAAACACTTGAATGCAGACGCACGTGCCAACAAAGACCCAAAAACGAGCACAGCTTTCACGCGCGAGGCCTCAAACTTCGAGCCATGCCTGTGAGACAGCTGAACATAAGAACCTTCCGCTGTGGCAGCAAGACCTTCAAGTTCCATCGTTGGCAGAAGCGCTCCAAATACCGCTAGGTCTCGTCCACATACGGGAACGGGCCATCTGGGATGGGCTTCCCCAGAAAATGCGAAACTGGAGCCCAACTGTCTGAGAAGCTGTACACCAGGAGGCGATCTGCAGGAATCACCTGAAGAACTCGCTCGTTGTGTTGCCTGTACGACTCCATGCACCTCTGCCTGGACTCCCCGGATGCGCTCACGTTGCCAAAGTCGCAGCCCCAATACCGCGCCTCCGTGCAGTAAGAGAACCAGCTGTCTGGCTCGGGGGCCATGACAGAAGGCCATCCAGTAACGCCGAGGGTCATGTTATACACCCACTGCTTCAAGGGATCCCTGAGCTCACGCCTCTGTCTCCTAATCAGGGCGTCGTAGCTGTCGTACCAGTGTTGCGGGTCTGCCATGGTCAGGATGAACTTGGCCTTGGGAAAAGCAGACAGCATCTCCGGATACAGAAGATGAAATGGCTCATCCATGGCCGCATCGTAGTTTTCGAGGGCAGGCAGCGCGTCCTCCAACCTTCCGTGGCCGAAGAGGTAGTGGCACCAAGGCCTTCGAGCCTCGAAGTGAGGGAACCCGCTGTGGAGTGTCCTCAGGCCCAGCTGTGTGAGTGCAGCCGCCATGGATTGGGTGCCGGTACGTGGTGCGCCCACATCGAGCACCTCCAAAGCCGGGGCCGTCAGAAAATGAAGATGAAGGAAGCTGACCAGGGCACAGGCGAGTCGGTGCATTCCTGGGTCGTTTGCCTGGAACTCGGAGTTATTGATCACATGGTACCCTATACTGGCATGAGTCTACACAAGTAGTCCACAAGAGTACGAAGAGTCTACGGTCTACGATACGATCGTAGGTTGAGGTTCGATCTCGTGTATGGAGGGCTTGGGTTTGAGCTAATGAATGGCGGTGCGATGCAGAGCAACATCCCGAAAACCTGCATTATGGTATCGATGGTATCTGCAGAGCCTTTCTGGTCCTAGCTGTTCCCGGAACCCGCCGAAGCTATACTGCCTGCCGTGGCCCTCGTCAGCTTCACACAGGCCGGCACGAAGGAACTACAGCATACTTACGGCAGCCACCAAACTCTCTCTCTCTCTCTCTCTCTCTCTGTTGTATCCGCTGGTGTAGCATACTGCCTAAACAACTTCGGAGGCGTAAATTACGACGCTATTCGTGAAGGTCGCTGTGGCTGAACTGTCAAAACTGTCAAATGTGGTTGCGACCACATGGCCGGAGTTTGACAGCTTGATGGTGTGGATTTCCGGAGGCATGCGGGTAGTTCTCTAAAATCGGGTCCTTTCTTGGTCCCCTTACATAATACAGCACCCTTTGAAACAAGGACCAACCCCCAAACCCCAAACCCCCCCTAACCGCCCTCGAGGGCCCGGCAGTGCCAAGCCGGCCGTGGTAGTAGCCCTTCTCCCTCGCATGGCACCCTAAACCCTAAACCCCTAAAACCCTAAACCCCTAAACCCCTAAACCCCTAAACCCCTAAACCCCCAAACCCCCAAACCCCTAAACCCCCAAACCCTAAACCGACTCCAAGAGCTTCAGAATTCAAGCAGCCTCGAGGGGTTCGGAGGGTTAGCTAGCTTCGGGTTCAGGTTGAGGGTTCAGGGCTTAGGGCTTCGGGCTTAGGGCTTCGGGCTCAGGGTTTGGGGTTTAGGGTTTAGGGTTTAGGGTTTAGGGTTTAGGGCTTTGGGCTTGGGGCTTGGGGTTTAGGGTTTAGGGTTGTGGAGGGGGGGGGAGGGGGTAGAGCTTGCCAAGGGTTTAGGGAGGCGAGGATTCCAACGAGGGGGGGTGGACCGGGGGAAGGTTGGGGTGGCGGCAGCCACGATAGAGACACGGGCTGGGTGGCTGGATTCTGGGGATCTTTGAGGGAATGCTGTTTCAAGCTTTTGGACTTCCATGGTAAGCCCTGAAACTCGTGTCACGACACCTAGAAACCGAAGTACAAGCCGCCAGTCATCAACAGCCCGTATTCGGGTTGGGGCATTGGGGTAGAATGATTTTGGTGTGATGACGAAGGCAACCCATGTCCTCCATAGAACAGATTCTGAGACGCCAGCTTGGTCTCCTTGAGCAGCTTCTTGTCCTGATCTGGCGTTCACAGGTCGCGAGTCATGGCCAGGCCCCCAACCTACCCGAAAGACGACAACCTCAGGCCGAACTCCTAACTCCCAAGCCTTCAAAACTGCATGCACCTCCTCAGAAACCCTCTCCTCCTCATCCAATTCTGCTTCGTCCATCTTCACAACCTTGCGAGCTAGCTTCGGGTCCGAGGCACCAAACACCACGTCTTGTCCCAACCCCACGTGAATCCCCAAAACCCCTCAGCCCGCTTCACCTTGGGGTACCCACTAACCCCCAAAACCCAAACCCTAAAAAAACCTTAAACCCCAAGCCCCAAACCCTAAACCCTAAACCCACCCCAAACCCCTAAAGCCCCAAAACCCGAAACTTGCCCTGAACCCCTAAAGCCCGCTTCACTTCTGGGGCCTCCCTCCCCCACCCCCGGCCTCTTCCCCTAAACCCTAAACCCTAAACCCTAAACCCTAAACCCTAAACCCTAAACCCCAGGGGGCCTCTTCCGCTCTCTTGCGCGCCTCTTGAGCCTTTCGGGGCGCCAGGGGCTTTCGATTGGATGGATTAGGGCTTCCAGGGTTTTAAGGGGTTTTAAGGGGCTTTAAGGGGTTTTAATTAAGGTGTTTTAAGGGGTTTAAGGGGTCTTAAAGGGGTTTTAAGGGTTGAAGGCTTTCAAAGGTTTGTGAGGGGTTTGGAGGGTGATAAAGGTTTAAAGGGTCTTTTTTTGCAGGCCTTTAAACAAGTTTAAGGGTTGCAAGGGTTTTTAGGGGCTTTACGGGCTTTCGAGGTGTTAAACCCGGACGACGGCCTTCTTGGCGACCTCGGCTCTCCAATCCTGAAGGATAGGGTTTAGGGTTTAGGGTTTAGGGTTCAGGGTTCAGGGTTTAGGGTTTAGGGTTTAGGGTTTAGGGTTCAGGGTTCAGGGTTTAGGGTTTAGGGTTTAAGGGACCCCCAAGAAGGGTGGGGGGGGAGGAGGACACTTCTTCAAAAAACCCCCTTTGTTGTGGACAGGGACACCCAAAAATTAAGGGGGGGGAAACAGAGAACTGACCCTGTGGGTTTTAGGGGGTCTAGGGTTTGAACTTTCAGTGCTTCAGGGGTTTGAGGTTTACAGGGCCTCATCTGGGTTCAGGGTTGAGGGGATCATATGGGATCGGCAAAAAGCGCTGAATCCAGCCAACCCGCCTCCCCCCCCCCCGGGTTCACAGGTGCCTCCAAAGACAGCTCGGCCTGCCCCTCCGCAACGCGGCGGGCGTTCTCTACAGCGAGCTGCCTCCACCAGCGCAGGGGGCTTGCAAGGAATTTCTGCCTTGATCTCACGGCTCAAACTGAGTCCTTGTGTCAGGAGGTCACGACCGGCAAAAGGAGACTCTGCACATTAACCCCATGCGCTTTGCTGCTGTTGTCGGTATCTGCAGTGAAGCCCACATCACCTTCGCAGGCCCTGAGCCCCTAACTTCGCAACAAAGCGGAAGCCTCAGCGACGTGAAGCCTTGCTTGTTTGGGGCCTCTGTTCTGCCCGCTCGAATTAGCAGAAAACCCTACCCGTTTAGGGTATCAACACAAAATTCAGAAGGCCCGTTAGTTGCTGTGGATCAGACCTCCAATGTTATCTGGCCTCTTCTCCTCCTCCAGCTGCTCCTCCTCGCGGCGCTTCTTGGCCTCCTCCTGTTGGCTTAGGGCTTAGGGCTTAGGATTTTTTAGGGTATATTGGGGTATATTCGGGTTTATTAGGGTTGATTAGGGTTTATTAGGGTTTATTGGGTTTATTAGGGTTTATTAGGGTTGATTAGGGGTTTATTACGGTGTATTAGGGTTTATTAGGGTTTATTTGGGTTTATTTGGGTTTATCAGGGTTTATTAGGGTTTATTAGGGTTTGGGGCTTCCACGTCGGCCAAGGATCCTGAAACCCTAAAACCTAAACCCGGCGGTCGAGGGTGGCTGGCACTCCAGGCAAGCTGTTTCCCTAAACCCTAAACCCTAAACCCTGTTGCGGTTCCAGCCCCAAAAAAGGACTCAAAAATCAAGGGAAATTCAAAGGCCCCCTTAGGTGGGGCAATAGAGCTTGACCTGCAGATGATGGGTCCTGACTATGAAAGAAGCCATGTTCCCGGCTGGAGGGGGGTCGTGGTCTTCTTGGGGGGAGCACGGCTGAGTAGGCTAGGCACAAGCCAGCTGAAAACAAACCAAACCCTAAAACCTTAGGCCCTGGGCCCTAAACCCTAGCCCTAAACCCTAAACCAAAAAAAGCCCCCTCCAACCCGAGATCTCCAACGCTAGAGGCCCCAAATGCCTGGTCAAACTACAGACGTGAAGATCCCGGAGTCGTTTTCTTGGTGGTCTTTCGACTTGGGGTGGCCTTTCGACTTGGGCTACACGTCAGTTGGCCAACTGATGTTTTTGGGGTCACGAGCCAGCAAGGACTAAGTTCAAGAACAATGAAACCACATTCATCCAATTGAGTGAGCAGCCGCGAAGGGCCTTCTCGTCCTGGGAACTGTATCATGCCAATCATCTTAGAAAGCTTGACAGTTCTTCAAGGATGGCCCTGAAAAAGGCCTTTGAAAAATATTCCTATACATGGTCCTCTTCAGCCCAAACAAGGGAACATGTAAAAAATGCCGCAAGGCCTAGCGAGAGGATCCCGACAGGGGATGCTCCACCTACCACACATGGTTGGCTCCTTCTGCTTCTTTTCGAGCTCCTCCTCCTTCTCCTTCGCCTTTTTGGCAAAGTCCTCGCGTTTGAGGACCGACCGTGGAGTCAGCCTTCAGTAAGCCCGAAGCCCAAGGGCTCAGGGTGGGGAGGGCTGGGGAAGCTTCGGGTTATGCGGCAAGCAAGACCCAAGTGGGCGACAAAGGTGGGGTCGGGGCATTCGGGGAAACACACAGGCAGCCATAGGTGTGCCGGCGCTGTGATTCTAAGGCCCTCCACGATGCGTTAATCTGAAGCCCTCCCAAACCGAACAGCCACAAACCGAAGACCTATCAAGCACCCTGTCTGAAACAACCTCAACATGCGCGGCACACCCAGCGTCGACTCAATCGCCCACCCCCACCCCTGCCCCTCCTCCCCCTAACTTAACTAAGACGAAGAAAGCTCCTCGAAGCTGATCTCGTCCTCCCCAGCCTCTTTCCGCCGCTTCACCTCGCCGCAGATGCTCAAGCCTTATAATCAGGACCCCGATAAGGTACCCCTAATTTCCTTATCATAAGATTCCCTTATAATGAGATTCCCTTACAATAAAGTTCCCTTATAATAAGATTCCCTTACGATTAGGGCCGGCCCCGTGGGCCACTAGAGCGTAAAACCTCGCACTTTCTCGATCAAACTTCCACTGAAGACCAGCTTCTGAATCTGGCCCTTCCTCGTTCTTAGGGTTAGGGTGGTAGGGTTTTAGGGTTTAGGGTTTTGGGTTTAGGGTTTAGGGTTTAGGGTTTAGGGGTTAGTGTTTAGGGTTTAGGGTTTAGGGTTTAGGGTTTAGGGTATGTTCACTGTCAAAAGCTGTCTTTTTTGCCTCAGCCCCCCTTGCCCTCCCGCGATCCAAGGCTTCGTGCTTTGCTTCAACGCACAATGTTCAGAACACAACGGCCTTTTCCTGGCCAAGCCAACAGCAAGGGGTGTCACTAGGACATGGGCAGAAGGGTCTTCGAAGAAGGTTTGGGGGAGGTAGGATTCGGAAGCTTAAGGGGCATGAAACCACTGGAGCAAAACTGTGCCTCCTCCTCGTATGCAGCTTGCAGCTTTCCATGCCTGGGAAGGAGGGTGGTGGCAGGAGGTCGGGTGCATGAAGTTATACGTACATCGGAGTGCGCCGGGGCAGCAAATCGGAGGCTAGAAACGAGGCGCAAGGTGTGGTATTCTTGCAGTTGGCTGGTCTTTCTTGTTCCTGCTACCGCGCCAAGCCTAGACACGCCTATATTATATTGTAGAAGCGAGCCTGGAACCAGAGCCAGCGCCAACACCACCAGCTTCAATGAATGATGAGGGCAACACTGACTGCTGCGAGCTTCCCTTGACTCCTTTTGTGGATGCAGCCGCTGCACTTGGAAAGTTACAGGGCCCCGTGACACAACCAAGAACCAGATGAGCTGAAGCTAATTGCGGACGCGGGGCTTCTTGTGCTGCTCCTGGTAGAGGCCTCCCTTCATGGCTGCACTCAGCCTAGCGACGACGAGTACGGTGTGGCAGTGGGGGGGGGGGACTGATCTCGTGCGATTGCAGAGCACGACTCCCGAAACACGATCAGAAACCTCCCAGTGTTTGTATTCTATGTCAGTCGCGGAAACTGGACCGAGCATCTTCGTTAGTTACCCTGACACTGCCCTCAGCGGCTCAACCTCCTAAAGATTCTAGAAGTTCCGGCTGCACTGCTTGGATGTGTGTGTGGGCGCGCGCATGTCGGGCTGCGTGTCAGAGACACACAAGCCTGGAAGTTGCAGGCGATTGAATTTTCAAAATTTCGGGAGTAAGGCTGAGTAAGGCTTTGGGTTTTCCTTGTGGGGGAGCAGGGTATCGCTAACTGCGCCCGCAGGCAACGAAGCGAACATGGCTCTCATCAAAACCACCCGAGAGCCATCTTCAGATTCAACCTGTGGCAACGCCGGGCCTCTCCTTCTCTTGCTGCTTCAGGTCCTGGCGGACAAGGGGGATCCAGGCAATTGAGAATTTTGTGCTGAGGGTTTTCAGGTCTGGGGTCTAAACTTGAGACCGGCGTCCCACATCGACTAAGTCTGCTGTTTGTTCTCTAAAGAGGCTAGACCCTTGTAGCTGGCAATCCCACACGCCCTAAGCCTGGGAATCTGCGAGTGACATCTGGCATGGCGCCCAGGGTCATCACAAGAGGCCGCATGACCTCGCACCCTAAGCTCTGGGTCCTCTGTTTGCTACGTTAGCCCCTTGGACTCCTCCAGAAACGATCAAAAAAACATCAGCAACCTAAGACTCCAAGCAGCTATTGTTGCCGGGGTGGGGGGTTCAAGAGCACAAATTAGGGCTGCAAAAACCCAGCCTTGAACCCCTTTCGCATCCCACAACTCCCTGTCATCCTTAACACTCCAACCCTGCGCCCCGCTGGCCTTCAGTCGCTCCTTCACCTTCTGTAGCAGCTCTCTCGCCTTCCAAGCTTGCAGCCAATCACCCCCACCCCCCACCCCCACCCACCCCACACCCACCCCACCCCACCCCACCCACCCCCACACCCACCCCCCCCACCCACCCCCACCCACCCCCACCCACCCCCACCCACCCCCACCCACTCCCACCCACTTAGGGATGCCCTGAGCCCTGCTGCGCATCTCGAAACATGTGCCGGGTCTCCCAACTACACCTCACGCCAAAGCCTGCAGCCAGGAGAAGAATGGGCTGGCTGTGAAGCCCCTAAACCCTACACCCTCAACCCTAAACCCTCCAGCCCTTAAACCCCTTTAAATCCCTGCAAAGCCCCTGAAAGCCCCCACGGGGCACCTCGCGATTGCTCGGCTCGAGGGTCGCCAGGCGGGAGAGGTCGCTCCTCGCCTCCTCTAGGCGCCTCTCTTTCAGGGGGTTCGGACCATGAATATTCTGATTGAAGGCTCCATCTGGCTGTATTCTGGCCTTCACAATGCGGTGCAACAAAACCCCAATGCCCGAACTCATGTGTGGTCCTCCATCTGTTCTTTCCATGCATGCATGCATCCATCCATCATCCATCCATCCATCCATCCATCCATCCATCCATCCATCCATCCAGTGCATGCATGCGCCTGTAAATCATTATGTATTAACTAAAAAATATAAATTATACATAAATACAAATACAAATACAAGTACAAGTACAAATATGAATATAACTATATATATATATATATATAAAAAAGGACAAATATATAGAAAAAAAGAACATAAATATCAAGATAAATACAAATAGAAAGATAAATATAAATATAAACATAAATAACTATAAATATGAATATAAATATAAATATCCATATAAATATAAATATAAATATAAAGGAAAACAGAAATATAACCATAAATAAAATACATATATATATATATATATAGAACTATATACATATGTATACATAATATGTGTTTGCAAAGTATGCAGAACAAAAAGAAAGGTGGGGTGCACTTCCACGCTTGAGCTGGGCCCCTGACCCCTCTGTGGCAAGCTGGGCCGCAGCAAAGCTTTTTCTGTACAGGGCTTTGGTGTTGTCCTCGGGCACATGCACCGCGTTCGGAGAGGGAGGGTGGGCCTCAAGCTCTTAAGCTGAAAGGGGGGGGGACTTGGGGGCTCATGGGTACTGAGAAGAAGGGCCATAAGTAGGGCAACTGTGGTGATAACCTGATTCAGGATACTTATAACCCCCGCTGTCTAAGTATCCATGAACCTTCAGGTAGAGGGGGGGTGCATCCCGAGAGGAGGCCTTCTCCAAGAGGAGGACCTTCCCAGCGTGGTCGATCGCTGTGGTCCAGCTGCTCAGCTTGATGCAGGCCTTGCCAACGGGCTCCCGGCAGTCGGCTTAACGCTGCCCATTTTGGGGGTTTCCGAACATGGGGGGAGTAGCCCTTTTGGGGGTTCCTAAAAAATTAGGATTTTACCCTTTTGGGGTATATTCAGGGTACCCCCTATTGTTGGAAATACCCATGTAGGAAGCACCGTAGTATGACTGCATCTGGGCGTGTGCCACTGAACATCGCTCGCTCAACATGGCCCATGCTCTCTCCGTCTCCCCCCCCCCTAACCTGCAAGCTCCTGCGAGTCAGGCGACGCGTGCCGACTATCAGCACCAGCAAGCCGCCCGAAAACGGAAACCAGAACCCTTGACCTCGACCCTCAGTTCGAGCACGGGATGCCTGCGCGGAGTTGAGCCGCAGCGCTTGGTACGCCGCGGTGCCTCCGGTCGAAGGCTGGGTGCTCGGGCATGGCACCCCCAGACCCTACAACCCCAAGGCTTCAGATCAGGATTTGGGACGACTCAGGGTGCGAACATGAGGGTGCGTCTTGGAGCGTTGTGCCGGGGATGTCACTTCTCGAGTTGGGAGCTTTGGAGGGATGCGCGGGACGCTGGAAGTACGGCGCGGGGTGTGAGGGCCAATGGGTTGGGGGATACTCGCACGGGTTGGGCTGCGCGTTAAGAACTCTCCTCCATTTAGCAACTCGGAGAGCAGACGTGTTGAGGGTTGAGGTTGAGGGCTTCACGGCTGACGCAACCTTTGAACGGAATGCGATTAGGGCTGCGGTTTAGGGTTCAGGGTTTAGGGTTTAGGGTCTACGTTGAAAGCCAGTAGACTACAATTAATGGGCTACAGTTTCCTATTTTCCGGGTAGAGTAGCCCCTTATACTGGGTAGCTCATCTAGGGGCCTGAAAAATTAAAACAGGGTTTTGGGGGGTTCTCATGGTATAACAACAAAGGGACCGGCTCCCTTATGTGATACAGGGTTTAGTTCATTGGTTACTTACAGGTGGAGTTGCAAGTACCCTAAAGAAGGCTATAGCCATAGTTTCCCTACTTAGAGCCCCGGTTTAGGGTTTAGGGTTTAGGGTTTAGGGTTTAGGGTTTAGGGCTTAGGGCTTAGGGCTTAGGGCTTAGGACTTAGGGTTTAGGGTTTAGTAGTGTCTCAACGTTGCACTCTGGGGGGCGGGCCCCGCTTCTGGAGCTCCTCGCCGAGCTCGGCAGGATCTTTCTCGAGCAAAGGCCTGCGGGCATGGCTTGGACAGCGCCCTTATACTAAGAGGTCCTGAATAGGGTTTAGGGTTTAGGGTTTAGGGTTTGGGGTTTGGGGTTTGGGGTTTGGGGTTTGGGGTTTGGGGTTTAGGGTTGGACAGCCCATGACAGCCCCCTTATATACTAAGAGTCCTTAATGGGGGATTCTAATGGGGTACTATAATCCCTACTAGGGACTGCTAGTATAAGGGGGAGCGTCTGTAACAGTCATATGATCTCATGGTGGAAGAGTAGAAGAGTAGAAGAGTAGAAGAGTAGAAGAGTAGAAGAGTAGAAGAGTAGAAGACTAGAAGAGTAGAAGAGTAGAAGAGTAGAAGAGTAGAATAGTCTGACAACACAATAACATAATAACAGAATAACAGAATGGAAGTAGAACATAATGACATCATCACATACTCACAAAACAACACAATAGTAACCTAGCATCATAGTATATTCGTATACTCGCAGACAACTCACATAATGTCATGATAGTATACCGGTCTCGGGGGATCCACACCCCGGATACCCCAAGTAAGGCGTGCGCCAACTGACAAAAGCAGAACCGTTGGGCCGGTCCCCTCACATCCTGAAGAAACCTGCAGCGCCAACACTGGTTCAAGCGGCTCGGTAAGTTCGATCCCCTCGAGGTACCTCGGCAGAGCCAAGCAGATCTGCGAAAGAAGCTCGTGGGCTCAGCACGGCAAGGGATTTGGCATTGAGTTTGGGGGGGGGGGGGGGGGGGGGCCTCATCCCCAAGCAGGATTGTCCTAGGGGGGAGACTCGAGCACTTGAGCTTGGGATTCTTGTCGACTTGCACCCAAGATGCGCCACTGCTTTAAGGGGAATTGGACAGCTTCTTTTTGAAGAACCCTGAACCCTGCACACAACTCCCGCCCCAAGGAGTTCTTGAATTTGGTGTTGGGGGGCTTCTCTCCTACTTACTAATTGCTTAAGAACCCGGAAAAACAAAAACACTCTTCCTTATTAGGGGTAATATACGGATTATTGTTTTTAGATAGTAGTCCCTCTCTAAACCAATCCGAGGTGCTTGGCGGCTGCTCCGGCGAAATCGCCTGCCTGCGCCCCCAGAAGCCCCTTAAGGAACACACCGCAGCTGGAAGTGAGCATCCCCATCTATATGTCTATAACGGCATGCACATGTTGTATACACAGATATACATATATATATATATATATACATGATACACATAGTTTATGATGCATTCCCGGAAATATGAAGGGACACTAAGGCATTTGGGGTTCCTGGGACTACATCTACGAGCTGGCGACCGGATCCTCCAAGCCCTATGACCCAGCCCTCTTTAGGACCAAAGAGGCCTACCTGCCCAAGTCGTATCTTCTAGCTGTGTAAGAAAAAGAACACGTTTTGGGCCGGGAAGGTGTCTTGGGTAGGCTGAAGGCTTTCGTCACAACACCCTTCGTTTCCTTGAGCAGCGTGTTCCCGGCTTCTTTCGCCGCCTCTGCCTGCGCCACGCCTGAGTGGGTTGAAGGACAGTTCGGGAAGGTGGTCGAGGACCCCAAGGTCTAACCGCCATCCGACATGGCGATGCCAACTATAGGACAGGATGGCGCTAGGACCGGTTAGGGGAATGAGGAAATCTTCTTGCTGCCTGCAGTGACCAGATATCGACTTGGCTCGGGACGTTCCTCGCTGGAGGGGCCCTCGTCCTACGTTGCTTGCTTGCTTCCGGTCACCGCTGAAGGCAAATGATGGCGAAGCTGCCTAGACGAAGTAAAAACCCGGAGACCGTTTAAACAGGGCGAAAACCAGCTTCGATTGCTCTGGAGGGGGCACACCACAGGGTCCAACATTTGGGTCTGGGACATCGGGCTCTTTAGAAAACAGCAACTCTTCTCATCTGCGTATTCATAACGGCGGTCGAGGCCGGCAGCGCCCCGAGGGTAGACTGCTCTTTTGCAGCTGTCTTGTGCTGGCGCCATGCGTACTGCCAGTTATCACGGCGAACGCTTTCACGATTCGTACGCATGGGCATTTTCGACTCTTCCCGATGCAACAAGTGCGAATCTTCTTGAACGCTTCACTGCATGCCACACGTCATCCATCAAGGCTCCTTCTGCTCGCCCTCGGCTGGGGCGTCAGCTCCCTCGGCGGGGGCATCAGCGCCCTCGGTGGGGGCATCAGCATCTGACGCCTGGCCAAGTCTGGAAGTCTGTAGATGGCCTGTGGGGTTCAGGGGCACGGGTGCTTTGGGTGTAGAAACTCCCCGAGGCTTGGGCCGCCTAACCCACCTTGTCGCCGCTGCCTGCTGTGGCCCCGGGACTTGCGGGAATCCTAAACCCTAAACCCTAAGCCCTAAACCCTAAACCCTAAACCCTAAACCCTAAACCCTAAACCCTAAACCCTAAACCCGAAGCAGTCTCTGCATAGAAGCCGAAAAGAAGCCCGGTAAACATCGACTCTAAGCCCTGCAGCAGGCCTCGGCGGCAGTTTCCCTCTCGGCGTCTGCCCTTCCGGAGGCTCATCATCTCTTCTCTTCAGAGTTTAGGGTTTAGGGTTTAGGTTTAGGGGTTAGGGTTTAGGGTTTAGGGTTTGCACTTGCTGGGGCCATCGAGTTCCGGGCAGCAAGACAACAAGGAAGAGGGAAATGGACGATTTCCGGGCAGCAAGACAAAACAAGGAAGGGGGGAAAATGGACAAAGCTGCGTCAGGCTCCTTCTGCAAACACATCTTTTGATGACCGTCCGAAATTAGGGTGTACCTCATTGTGCGTCCTTACAAGGAAATCCTACCATTTTGGGGGTCAAAACTAGGGTCCCCTATGTTGGTAAACCCCCAGCTGTTCTTCTTCATGCATGCTGTAATCGGTGGATGGGCCTTCGCTGCAACTAGTTTCGTAGCTGTCCGGCGCCTATCTGGAGATTTTCCGAAAATGAGGGGCCCAAAACAGTGCAATCCTTACGATGGGATCCCCTTAAGGGTACCCCAATTTTCGGAAACCCCCATCTCACAAAACCGGCAGGGTGAAAGCCTGCAGGCCCTGCAGGGCTGTTCCAACGAAAGCACGAAAAGCCTGAGCCCTAAACTGCCCCCCAAACTCAACACAAACCTCGGGACAACCATCGGCTGCGCCAGAAGTGTTGAAGGCCGATCTTAAAGCCCGTCAGGAAGGCCCCTTCGGAGTTTCAGGCTTTCAGGCTTCAGGGCTTCAGGATTCCAGGGCCGGAAGGGGCTGCAAAGTTGCAGTCGGAGCAGAGGCTTCCACAAAAAGCCCCGAAAAAGCACACCCCCTGAGTTTCAGGAAGCTTCAGAGTCAGGCTTCAGGGGTCTGTTGGCTTCCGAGATTTTCGGCGCCCGTCTCAATCTCAGGGCACGGCTTGGTCTCGAGCCCAGGCGGCTCGGCGGACATTTCGACCTGAGAGCAACTCGCATCTTTACGATAGGGCGCCATTAATAATCAGAAAATAGGGGTTTTGAGGCGTTGTGAAAGCACAGCTAGATAGGACCATAAGGGAATACGTTAACAACTTTTCCGACTCCTGTACTGGGCTGTTCTAAGGGGCCTCGAGACGTTTGCCCGGCCGGGGTCTGGCGAGAGCTTTTGAAGGCATCGGTTTGCTGGGCATTTCCCGAAATAGGGGTCTATTTTATACCCCAAACTAGATTAGAATCCCTCTAAAGGATCCGAAGTGTCGGAAACCCCCAGCTATTATATCCATTCGCGTCCATCTCAAGCCCCGAACTCAGAACATGGAAGCTTCAAGCGCACCCATGCGAAACACGGCTTAGTACCGTGCGTCCTCCCCTCCGGCCATGCAAAAGGCCCAGACTTCTAGGGGGTTCTGCAAGGACAGAAGTGAGCTAAACTAAGCTTGCACATGGCATGGGTTAGTTGAGCTTCCTCTTCGGGTGCTGAGTTGCACCTAGGAGTTGGGCCGTTGGGTGGGTTGGGAGTGGCGAGTCTTGCGCACAATGGCTCAGGTACGGCGATGCCTAGGGTTGTCCTGCCCTCTCACATCCCTCAAGCCTCTGATTTCCAGGGGGGGGGCACATGTAATGCGTCCGGGAAGAAAGCTGCGGCGTGGACAACGTCCAAGGGACCCGGCGCCAAGGTGCAACAGTCGCTCAGCCCAAGCTCCCGGAGCCCCCTCAGCTCCCAGAAATCGACCCCTGAAAACCCTCCGCAATAAACATCTTTTCTCGTCGCGCACGCGCGCCTTGGGTGCGGGCTGCCACGAAGCGAGGACAGCGGAGCCCCGCGCATCCGCCAGAGTGTTTAGGGCTCGGGGCCGCCCCTTGCTGCCACCCTAATCCCCAAACTCGCCAAAACCCTGAGCCCTAAACCCTAAACCCCAAACCCTGAGCCCTAAGCAAACTCCGCAGAAGCTGTGGCTCTCCTTTGGTCCTCCGATGACGCCTTGAGGAGGCCCTGCTTTCGGGCGCTCCCGAGGCTTCGAGTGTTGATTCGGGCGACCTAGAGGCCTGCTGATCGGGTCTCTGAGGGTCTACCATTGCGTACTTTAGGGTTTGGGGTTTGGGGTTTAGAGTTTGGGGTTTAGAGTTTGGGTTTGGGGTTTGGGGGTTTAGGGCCTCTGTAGGCTTCCTCTTGGATTCTTCAACATCATGGCCTGTGTTAGATACCCAAAACTTATAAGGGCAAACCCAATAACTAGAAGCCCCAAAAGGACCCGGCAGCAGATCAAACCCCCCATTCGTAACCCCTCAGCCGCCTCTAGGTCTCTAAGTGCTTCTTCTTGGGAAGGGAGTGCGGGAGCAGCTCTAGACGTCAGCTGATTTCAAGCCGTTGCAGACGTGCTTGCCTAAAAATCACAAAGCACGGCAAAGTCTGCCACGCTTATATGGTGAGGGTCTTGTGGAAGCTCTTTTTTTTGGGGGTATTGGGGCTTCTTCGGTCTAGGGCTTCGGTGGTTCGGGAACCTGTGCATTAGGATTGAGGGTGGAGGGCTGAGGGTCTTCGAAATCCCACACTTCTCTTGGCTTCCACACTTCAGGTCGCTGTTTGCTCAAAGCCACACTCCCTGCCGCAATCCTCCGGAGAGTGCGTTAACCGTGCAGCTTCTCTTGGGGGGCCGGAAGGCTCGCTGTTCATCTCCTAAATAAACCCTAAACCGTAAACCCTAAACCCCTCTGGCAGGATTCATCCTCTTCAGCCCTGCCCCAAGGGCTGGCTTCAGCCAAGCTGCGAAGATGCCCCGCTGTGAAACAGCTCTTCTGTGGCGCGCTCTCGGATGCCCTCGCGGCCACACCTTGAAGAAGGAGATGAGAGGGTCTAAGTACTGCAGCAGATGATGAAGGATGTTTAGGGCAATGCTGACGTTAGGGTCCCTTTTTCGGAGTTTCGGAGGCCCCTTCATCATACTCTTAGAAGGATTTTACCCCCTTGGGGTGTCTGGCCCTCCATGCGGCACAGGGTCTCAAGCCTCAAACCCCAAACCCCTCAGCCCCACGCGCCGCGGAGGCATTCCCGAGTCCTCCTCTCCGAAGTCTTCTTAGCGACCTGCCCCACGAGTTTCTCAAGCCTAAACCGCTACAACAGGCTCTTTGCTAGATGGTGAGGGCAGCTTGGGGGGGGTTTGGAGGGGGTGGAGTTTTTTTTTGGGTCTTTTTTTTTTTTTGGCCTTTTTTTTTTTGGTCGATTTTCTTGGTTTTCTCTAGGAAAAACCCTACTTTCCTTACATTTTGGACGGATTTTCTGTAATTTCCCTTCGGTTTTCGTTGGTTTTTCATAGGGAAAAACCTATTTTTTTACATTTTGGACGGATTTCCTGTAATTTCCCTTAGGTTTTCCTTGGTTTTTCCTAGGGGGAAAACCCTATTTTCCTTACATTTTGGACAGATATCCTGTCATTTCCTTCGTTTCTTGGGCTTTGAAGCACGCTTGGTACGGCTTAAAAGAAGCGGGGGGGGTTGGGGGGGGGCGCAGCCCCCCCACTTGCAAACACCTCTTGGGCTTTGAAGCACGCTCTGCACGGCTTCAAAAAAAAAAGAGCGGGGGGGGCGCAGCCCCCCCATTTGCAAACACAATGCACACACGATGTTTTTCAATTAGTTTCTTGGGCTTTGAAGCACGCTTGGTACAGCTTAAAAGAAGCGGGGGGGTTGGGGACGCTGTGCCCCCCATTTGCAAACACCCTGCTCACATGATGGGTTTCAACTACTTTCTTGCGCTTTGGCTGAAAGAAAGCGGGGGGGTTGGGGGGGGCGCAGCCCCCCCCATTTGCAATGCTCACACGATGTTTTTCAACTAGTTTCTTGGGCTTTGAAGCACGCTTGGTACGGCTTAAAAGAAGCGGGGGGGGTTGGGGGAGGGGCGCAGCCCCCCCCCCATTTGCAAACACCCTGCTCACATGATGGGTGTCAACAAGTTTCTTGGGCTTTGAAGCGCGCTCTGCACGGCTTAAAAAAAAAGCGGGGGGGTTGGGGGGGGCGCAGCCCCCCCCATTTGCAAACACAATGCTCACACGATGCTTTTCAACTAGTTTCTTGGGCTTTGAAGCACGCTTGGTACAGCTTGAAAGAAGCGGGGTTCTGCAAACACCCTGCTCACATGATGGGTTTCAAC